GCAATAGAAGGAAGCATTTTCCCCAAATTATTATATAAATATATAAAATAGACAAGATAAATATTTTAAAATGTCTTAATACAAGACAAAAATACTTAGTGTTCAGAAATGAGCAGTATGTGTGTTATCATCACCACTTTCATGCTATTCATAAGCATCATCTGTTTATAGAAACCATCTCTCACATTTCTAAGCCAGCTTGTCAGCCCTTCAGCAGGCAGGAATACTTCTTTTACATAGGTGTTTTCATAGTGTTGAGCAAAAAGTGATCTTAAAACATGCATGGGATACATAGGTAAATTCTTAACAAAACTCAAAAAATTTCACAACTTCTCAGTGAAAGAAAAAGGAAATGGCTCAAACTGGTTAATACATTATCCTAACAAAATCTTTTGAGACAGCAAAATAATCAGTCTTAAATCCATCAGTATACACAACAGTTTGAACCTTTTACTAAGATTTACTGTATTCTTTAAATGTCACAATAGTCACACTGTTTTCTGGTAACCAAACTGTTTATATTTCAGGAGAAAAACAAATCTAGCTGGAGAAAAAATTATATCACACATCTTTTATGCTGACAGACTTATCCTAAGAGGAAGCGGCAGTCATTGAAATCAGAGACTGATTCCAAAATAAGACTTCTCCGTACAGAAGTGATATAATGCAATAAAAGTAAAATACAACACAATATTTATCACTCTACTGTCTGATGAACTCTGTTTTTTTTTCCTTGTTTTTCTAGATTCATTCATTCACTGATTTATCCTGAAGCTGCTAATTTATTATTGACTCAACTCCTAAGAAGGATTATATGTAGTTCTACAATTATATGTCTAGAAGATATAAATTATTAACCTAATTAAAGCTGCAGTATCTACTATGATGAACTAAATGATTATATTAAAAGCAAAATTGCTGAAGCACTTGTTATGTTCAGGTTATTATGACAATAACTTATCTTTGCATTTTCTGGAATGTTCATCTGAAACATAATTTAAATTTATAGCCAGTTTTGTCTGTTTCAGATTCAGGACAGATATTATGATGTAATAATAACAGTGGCTACTATGTCAGACTAATTTGCTCACTCTCCCTCATGTAGTTATGCATTTATAAATTGGAGCTCTCTTCAATGGAGGATGGGTATTAACAGGCAAGTTATCCCCTTTTATGGTGTAATGCTAGCACTAAGATAACAAGTTCTGGTTTGTTCACTGTCTTATGCCATTTGACTTGCCAAAATGACAGCAGCAGGCAGCCTTCCACTGCTTCCAGGCAGCCTGATTACCATCCACTCCTTCCTAAATGAAGTCTTCTGGGATCCCAGAAAAAGAAATCTGACAGCATGGAAACTGGTACAATTTTAAATTAATGTAGAATTCAATGCTATGTGACCCAAAACCAGCAGAGAAAGCTAGGGCATTACTAGGACACTGCATTTGCATATTCCTCTGCTGTAGCTATTAAGAACAGTCTAATTCAGAGCGTGACACAAACTGAAAATAGCACAGTACAAAACAGCAATGATCCACATGTCCAATCACAGGTGCTCTTAGTTAGGTCTCCAGTGGTATCAAATCTCATGTTCAACAATATTTTACTAGTGACATTATTTCAAATATGATATTTAAACAAGCAGCTAAAGACATACCTGTTCAGAAAAAGTACCTTTCAACATTAAATCAGACACAGGCAAAGACAGCTATGGTTGCTCAGCATGGAGAAGAGAAGGATTGAGGGAGACCTCATTGTGTCCGTCCGTTATCTAAAGGGGCTTATAAAAAGGAGGGAGAGGGACTTTTTATATGGACAGGTAGTGACAGGATAAAGGGCAATGGTTTTAAACTGAAAGACAGTGTGTTTAGAATATGTTAGGAACAGATTCTTTACTCAGAGGGTGCCGAGGAACTGGAACAGGTTGCCCAGAGAAGTTGTGGATGACCCACCCCTGAAAGTCAAGGCCAGCTTGAATGGGGCCCTGAGCAACCTGGTCTAGTGAGTGGCATTCCTGGCCATGGCAGGGGATTTGAAACTAGATGATTCTTAAGGACCCTTACATAACCCAAACAATTCTATGATTCTATGGAATAAACTCTTTAAAACTTAGCTGTATCAGCTGATAATATTATATAATGGTGCCCAAAAACCTACATGGAAATCAAATCTGGGTGTCAGGCCTTGTTAATCCTTGAGGCCGTACTGCCATTAAAGGCTTCTGTTTAGAATTTCAGCAATACATGACAGGGAAAAGGCAGAGTGTATAGGAAGGTAAATAATACCATATGTCAAACCTTTGAAGATTTTTTATGTTCACTCAGTTTCTTCTGAAAAGACCATGCACATTCAATGCAGGATGGACTTAAAAAGAGATAAATTACAGCTGTACCTGTAGAACATTAACCATTGCAGGAGTCACTACTCATTTGCCTTCAAAGTCAGCATGCTGAGGGACAAATTTGGACCAGGAGTTGTTTTACTGCTGTGATGAGATCAAGATAAATTTCCTGTTATCACAGATTATTACATCAAGCTCAGCAGAGAAACAGTATTACTGCCTTTGTCCTACTTCAAGAAGTGTCTGGATAGGATAGACAAGAAACCTGGATACACATATCTTTCAATGTAGATATGGTTCTAGATCATATGGGAAAAAATAGTAAGAATATTATTCTACCATGGTTAAGGTCTGTTTCTGGGAGAGCAAATGTAAAGCTACACAATAAATCAACTGCAAATAAATGAATGATTCTAAATATTTTTAAACAAATTATTAGATAGACATTCCAACAACTATTCTGTTAAACTAAATATTTTTTTCCTACACTTTCTTTTGATTTCCTAATTTAATTTTCAGGATAAGGAAATGAGATAGGCAAATGGAAAACACATTAGAGACCCTAGAAACACAATGTTATATTGCAATAAATCAGGCTGATAGCAGGTTTGAGAGTACAGAATTAAATTTAAAAAAAGCTAAGTTGTTAAAATAGTTAACATACCATATAGCCTTCATGCCGTAAATTGAAATCTTCATAAACTATGTAAAGGATTCAAAGGGTATAAATGATGAAGAACAGCTTTAATGCTACATGAACGCTTCTACCTGGGAGTTTGATCCTCACTCAGACCCAAGCCCTTTCACAATCTTTAGTGAATTCTTAAAGCCTATAAACAAAATAGCATATATATGCATATATATATATATATATATGTATATATATATATACAGCTCAGATGGATTCTGAAATGGATAGACAATTTTATAGTGATGAACATAATTTTCAAGCTTTCAATAGATGAAAAATGAGGCTCTGTGCTTGATTGAGAATGATGCCTCATCCAAACTTAGCAAAGGACCACAAAATAGTTTGGATTGCAAGGGACCTCGATGATAATCAATTTCCAACCCCCCAGCCAAGAGCAGAGACATCTTCCACTAGACCAGGCTGCTCAGGGCCCCATCCAACCTGGCCTTGCCAGTGCAGGGTGCAGACGACAAGGTTCTGCAATCCAGTCATTTTGAGCTGACATGCTCAGACTTCCTACTTTATATTCAAAGAAAACTCATACGAACATACCCACACAATGTTTGTAAAAAGGGAATGCAATAATCAATACTAAGAATTTACTAATGTGTAGGAGGTTTTTTTTTAAAGATTGAAGAAGTGCCACTGTATAAAAGATGCAATTATACTAGCAATTTGTTGATAAAATATAGCTATTATTTGCTGGCATATTTCTGAGGTAATGAAAAGATTTGTGTTATAAGGACATGATTATATTTAGTTTATACTATTGTGACACCAAATCAAATAAATTCTCCCTACAAAATGAGAAGGATGGTGAATACAAACAGTAGAAGGCAAAGGGAATTCCTCAGTAGCTGAACAACTGAAAAAATAACAAGTGTGAAAACTGACTAGTTCAATTACAATGCAATTTTAGAGGATAATTGGCAAGCTTACACGGTTTAAGAGCTCCATTCCCACTAGTACTCTAGCAAAATCTTTTCTTTACAAGTTTTTTTATTACAGAATTTAAAAAATAAAAAGGGACTGCTACAATGGCAATAAGATCCTGTTTGTCCGTAAATGGACAGGACGAACAGGTTTGTCTGAAAAGTTTCTACTTGCCAGCTGCCATGTCTGAGTTTCACGTTGAAAGCTTTTCTTTCAGCTAGTCACCCCCCAAAACTCATAAAAAGGTTACAGAAATATAAATAATGAATATGTAATAGTCATATGTGATAGTCTAGGACGAGGTATGTTCTCTACTAACAAAAAACCTAAGCACTTCTAGAACCTGGTGACAAAAAAATCTTTTTATTTGAACAATTTAACTAGAAAATGATGAAAACATGAAACCATGCAAGAAAAATCTATCTACAGTTATTGGAAGTTTTTTAATATGGATTTTGAAATTAACAACTTGCAAGAATATTGTTACCAATTTTCTTAAATAACCAGCTCAAATGATGTAAAGAAAGAAAATTGCAATGCTCCACACTTAACCCTTTTCAAATAACCACTAAAAAACTGCCCCACTCATGCAATCCATGCTAACTGGTCAATATTATTTCAATTGCTTGAGTTGCTTCTACAACGATTTAAACATTAACTTAAATGCTGTAGTATCACTTATACAGATAAATTGAAATGGATCTTCCAGGGGGAAATATTATTTCCTTATGTTTCTTAATGAATTATGCTCAAACCCCTATTTTTTCCTGTTAATTTACTGAAAGAATCAAGGGCCGGCAACTGAATTTATACTATGGTTCCATGAGGCTGTTCAACAGAGTATTTACATAAGCTTGTAAAAGCCATCAGCTCCTTCGAGGGCTTTAAATTTAAAACTCTGCATTTGTAGGTATAGAATTAGCACAATATGACTAGTACTGAAAATAAAGCTTCCTTGTTTTTGTTCACATTTGAAGGATATACTGTAAATCATATTGGAATGATCCAATAACTGTTCACTTAATTAATTACACTAACCTGTTGCTCTGGAAAGAAAAGGTAGTCCGGGAACAGAAGAGCTGGAAACTTTTGCCTCTTTCAGACTAGAACATCTAGATGGACTCTGACTTTCTTCCAAGCTCATAGAATGAGCCTGCTCCAAGACTGTAGAACCAGCAGAGGTGGCATTAAGCTGGGAAAGAGTATCTCGTGCTTTCTTTTTTTCTTTTTTCAGCATAGTTACCAGAATATCTGCAAAATGTATTAAGGATTTTTTTTTTTTTTTAAGCAACTATTATCATTGTTTGTCCATAAGCCTTTTTTTTTTTTTCAAAGTGAAAAAATTCACATTATGGAAGCATATGTGTGAATGTGACAATAAAGCTGGACATATTCTTTTGCAATTATTTTCATCCACCTCAGTTTTTTCAAACAGCAGATTAGTTCTTACTAAAACAATAACAAAGTCACACATTGACCACAATGGTTGATCCCATTCAATCAACTCCTGATAAAAGCATTTACGGACAAACAGGATCTTATTGCCATTGCGGTAGTCCCTTTTTATTTTTTAAATTCAGTGATAAAAAAACTTGTAAACAAAAAAAAACCCCTCTTAATTTACAGTAACCTTGCAAGTATATCCCATCTGTAAGCTTTTCACAGAAGGTTCACTAAAACTCAGAAAAAGTCTTCAGGAAATTTCATGCAATGACACTGTGAATTTACTGGAAGCATATTAGATATAAGTACATTTTGCCTAACAGCTTATAAAGGACATATAATGGAAATCCTGCATGCATTCAATTATCAACCCTGAAGTCCCTGTGATATGTTTTTTTTTGTATTCTACTCTTCTTAATCCTAATTAAACTTCTTAATGAACAGCAGAAATTCTAAGTAGTCTTTGGGGAATATTATTAACTAGACCAGGTAATAATAATAAAACACTTTCCAATTCAGTTTTTATGATAGCTTCTAGCTACTGTAGGCAAGAGCGAACTCATAGTTTATCCAACAACTTCCATACTTCCCACCACTTCATCACATTAGACATGTTATTAATGTTCTAGTGATGATGCACTGTCGCTTAGCCACTGCAGACCCCCTAAATCAGTCTTGTCTTCAAAGTCTTCCTATATTCTTTCTATTTAACTCTTACATGGATTTGCACAAGTTTCCTCCTTTTACATCTGTGAGCAAAGCTGTATAAATCTGTTGAGCACAAGTGCGTTTGATAGAGATATTTTCCTTTTTTTCTCATACTAATGAAGTAATTCATTTCAGGCGGAAATGTTTCTGGGAATTCAGATATTAAAATTTACATTAAAAAAAGGAAGAATTTTTGAAAGAAATGAGCTCGTGTTTTAGCTAAATTTGTTTGAAATTGCACCTTGGAAAAAAAAAATCTTATCATCTGTGAAAAAGCAGAAATGAGGAAGCTTTCCTGACGCCTCACTTTCTGACAATTTTCAGACACGCAACATGCTGCACCCCAGTGAAACATGCCATTTTCATTTGACATATAAAACTGAGCTGGAATTGTTGAGCACAAAGACTGCCACTGAATTTGAGCTTTACTAATAACTGTGAGAAAACCCCTGTTACCTTTACATTCAACAACCCCATATTTTAATTTCTCTGCTTTATTACAAACTTTCCCCACTGAGTAGCCACAACTCTAGGGCTGCAGTGGCTGCGGTTTGCCACAGGTCTGCCAACCTGCTAAAAATACCTCCCACCCATTGCACTGCAGTGCAGCTACTCGTGTTTCCTGTGAGGCAGTGAAACGGACAAAGCACGTCTGAGCAGTCTAGCACTTTTATTTGCAAAAAAGATTTAAATTTAAATGCAAAAAGTACAAGTTTTATATTTGTTCTAAGGGCAAATTGCCCAGTAGTCCCCAAAGCAACACTTCATTTGGCTAAAAATAACACATACAGGAAATTCTATTCTTTGTCAGGTAATAGATTGGTCTTTATATAGCATCAGTTTTCCCCTCTAAAATTTTATTTAATTTGCTTGAGGAGAACTTTTTAGGTCCACAATATTTGGTTATTGGCTGGACCATTCTAAAGCTAAGTGGTGCTTGGATCCAGGATTTTGCTTTTGGTGAAAACAGAAAGAGAAGCAGGTGCAAAGCAGAAGTCCTGTCACATAAAAGCTGGAAATTGAGTATTTCCTTTAACACAGTACAGCCTCTCCCACACAAAGAAAACTGGTTGTAAGATCATCTGAAACCCAAACAATACTTTTTTCTCTACAAAGGATACTGATTTCGTTGTCTCTTTGTTGCAGAAGTCCTTTCAGTTTTTCCAGCTCTTCGTTACTGTTTTTTTCTTCAGAGATGTCTTGTGAGAGCAGTTTTTCACCTGAAGTCATTGGATGATTTATAAATTGCTGTAAGGAGAAACAAAAAAAAAGCACACCCCTTTAACTTTCCCTCCAGTTCTGTATTCTATTCTTAGAGAGTCTAGCTATTGTAAGAAAGGCAAAAACTTTCTACACTCTCGATAGAAAAAAAATCATGCCACAGTTGACTGTCAAATTATATCCATTGTATCAAGTATGAAACATATATTTTTTTAAATCTTCATTAGCAAGGGTGCAATTTATTTTACTCTTTTTACACAAACTCCAGTGTTCTCTAGTATCACAGAACCTTCAGTATTAAAAATACAATTAAAAACTAATTATTTAAGGACAATTAATTAAAATCAGGAATGTATACTCTAATATATTGGAAAAACTATATTCCAAAATACAGAAAAGTATTATCTTCTATAATTACACAATTATCAAGTGTATCTTGTATCTTGTTTTCTCAATGATTCAGAAGGTCTTGCAACACCATCAGAAGAAGTAGTGTAACAGATAAAGGGATATAGTGGTTTTAACCTACATTTTTACCTCAGTCAACATAGTTTGTCCAAAATAAAGACTCATTAATGCTGGAAATACAGATGAGAACACCTATCCATATGAAACCAGCTTGTCTTGATTCCAGTAATTTCCAGTGCTCTTACAATTTACTGCATACTGGGATCCTTGCTGATGTTTCCACAAAATGCTGCTGAATTTTCCCAGCTAAATTTAAGTTTTCTAAGAGTCTTCCACACTATTTAAAGTTCAATTGCTTTACCATTTTCCAATACCTCTCAACTACATTGAATTTCTTTTAGTACTTTTCAACCATGACTATCTCCGAGTTATTTTCAGAGTACCCCTGCACTTTCATCTCTGTTTAAAAAAAATACCTTCATATGAATGAAGCAATACTTGATCTTCCGCATGTCAGCACCAACGTCCAGAGAGCTATCAGGATCATCATCCTTGAGAAATGTCTCAATTAACTCATCCAACCTGGAAATAACATTTTTAAGAGGAAAAAAATTCACAAACAAGCAGACAACTCTGCAAAGTGGCATGTCAAATACAATACAAAATGTACCAAGCTGTCTGATATTAAAAGGCTATTTTTCTTCAAGGTCCATGCATTTGAAACGTACTTTTGTTCTCATTAATGAAACCTGGATTTGATATTGAAGATTCTACAACTGCATATCTGAACATACAGGCACATGCTAAGGAATAGTTCTAGAACTAAAAGCATCTTAGGAGTAATCTTTTCTTTTTCTCATTTATTTCATAACCTTTTGCTCTTCTGCTATCTCATAATTGAAAATACTTAAAACCTGCTCTCTGAGAAGACTAGACTTTAAGAGATTTTGGGCATAGGATTTCTTACTATGTATGATTATTTTGCAAAAGAAAAATCTGCTTCTTTTTCTATCACAATAGTCAGCAGATAGCATAGCTTTCATGCATAAATTACCTGCTCCAATCACCAAGCAAGGCAAACTATCTTTTAGTTTAGATATTTATGCACTTCTCAAAGACCTACTGCTCTTCTGAGGAATTAAATTAAATTAGCATTTTATTCTCTTGTAATGTGTTCTTTACAAACAACTGACTAAATCTTCTTTAGGGAGAAACAGTTCAGTAATTTGGTCTTCATAAGACAACCTGGCACAGAGAAGCACCCTCTTTATTTTTCAAAACCAAACTAAAATTATCAGACCAGAAACATATACAGGCATAATATACCATGTTTTAGGCCAAATGTCACATCTCTACAGATAAAGTCAGACTTCCTCTTACATGCTGTCACCATCTTTCCAGGTTTCATATTTCAGGATGTATTGCAGCTCATTCTCAAGACAAAGGGAAGAGGATTTCTAAGCCCAGATTAGACATTTAACCCACTTACAAAGGTATATTTCTGGGAAACTGCAAGTGAAAACTCAAACTCCATCAACTGGGTTCAGATTTATGGCTTCCTGGCTCCTGACAAATGCTCTATGCCATTTAATAGGCAAATGGCAGGCAACAATGACAGGCATATGCCCTGTAAAGCACAATTTTATAATTTTAAATGTTTATTGAGGTTATCATCCTCAGAAGATGAACTTAAGTTCTGAGCCTGAGCCAGGGAATCTAAGGTAGCTGCACAAAGTGCCCAGGTGCCCAAGAAGGGCAAGAGTTCATCTTTGTGCCTAGTGTTTCTTTTGGACTGGTTTTGTTCAGCTCCCCACTAAATACGCAAGTCTTCTGAATGTCACTTTGTAGTCATTTCAGTTACAGGACTGGGAATCTTGTTGCCATTTTATTATTGGAATAACTTTTTTGTGACCAAATAGAAAAATTGTAGGTATTTTAATATCACAGCATCCAAAGCTGACCCTAGAGTATGTTTTGTGGTATTTCCCTGCTTCTGAAGACTTCTCTCACTGAAATTCTTCACATTACAATAATAGAAAATCCCTGCTGGAGCGTGAAACAATAACATGCATGACAATCTGAAAAAAAAACTTAACATTATTTTCAGGATAAAATAATGCTGCAAGGCTGGAATGAAAATTGGAAAACATACCAGAGAGTTTTAGTATTTATCTCCTCTAGAGGTAGCAAAGAGGCAACACTCAGAACAGAAGAAAAAGGAATAAGAAGGTTAGTTTCAAACTTTGCTTTCCCATTTTCATAATTTCACTTAAATAACAAGAGACATATATGTTGTGCATTCCACTCATCGAATGTCCAAAATTCATAGCTTCTGAATTTATAGGACACATCCTGAAGTCAATGTGAGCTGTACATGTGGAGAGCTTGGAGACGATATTTAAAGAGAAATATTAGCTACAGAAGTATTATTGTAACGTGTTCTTTACAAACAACTGACTAAATCTTTAGGGAGAAACAGTTGACTTGCTTCTCAGCTGAAGACATAACAAAATTTACTCAGTCAAAGAACCCAAATTTTTACTTATTGCTACATGATTTTTCACAGCATTAAGAGTACAACAGAACAGAAGCCAGTAGTACAAAGTTACTCATACTCTCTGCAGACACACTAAGCACAAAGAGCAGGAGAATTAATCCTTCATCCATGGAGACAGGCATTTGTGCAAGCACTGGGAAAAGAGAGGCATTTATACTTTTAATGAGAATATGATTGTGATTACACAGACACAGAATCATTATTTGTCACATCTTAAGCACCTTATTGGTTTCAGTAAGACAAAACAAGTAAAAAATGGGTTTTGATAATTAGGTTGTCTAGACTGAAGTAATCTACAAAAATCGGCCTTTATCTTGAACTAGAAATTATCAAGGAGATGTCTTAACCTTTCAAAGATTATCTGGTTGCCAGGGATTTACCCATACTCAGATTACAACAGATTTAGGCTATGGGAATCAATCAAAGAAATTGCCCTAACTTGCAATTAAAATTACTGTAAAGTGAAAATATTTCAAGAGAAAGATAAAGAATATATAATTCCTGAAACATAATGCTCTGTTTTTTGAAATTATTATTCCAGTCAAAAGTCAAGGTTCACTTGTTAAGTGTAACAAACTAGACAAGCCGTAGTTATAATCTGTTATTTCCTCCCTCGTGTTACATTTTCTGTTTCCTCTCTCGTGTTACCTTTTCTGAATTCTTGAAAAATCACAACAGTATAATTCATTTTTTGACTTCAAAGTAGTAAATAAAAGCCAAAAGACATCTGAGCACAAAAAAACTGAGTCAAATCTAAAATAGCACAGCGTAAATCTGAAGTTATAAACAAATTCAGCCTCTTTCTAGTTGTAGGAAACCCTAGATTGTCAGCATATTTTTAGATAAATTTTCAATATTTCATTGTTAAGAGTGAGAACGAGAAAAGGAAAAGACCATCCAAGTGTAAATGCTATGGATAAAAAAAAAAAAAAGATAAATAAATAAAACTGGCCATTCAAATCCCCAAGAATTCTAGCAAAAGAAATCACTGCCTCTCTCACTCTTTTAGGTTTCCATGTAAAAAACACCAGAATTCTTTCTAAAATAAGCAGAGTCTGGCCACACACTGGACATTCTGGGACTTCTTCCAGAAAACTGAAGCACTAAACAAAGGTACAAAATAAACAATGCGATACAGAGGCAACTTGAAGATTCTCTTCTCAATGAATAGATCTTAATAAACTGAACCATCTTTCGTTTAAGTGATTTAGCAGCTCAAAGACTGTCAAAACAACACATGAATTTATACTGTTCAGTTCTCCAATTTTAAAAATTAAAAAAAGACAATGCTCCTTCATTTCCAGAAACATTCTTGAGATTAATCAAGGAGACAATAAAGAATGACAAGGCAAGGGAAAAAAATACAGATGAGAATAAGCATAAAAAATGAATACTGACTGTACATTTACTTTTCCCTAAGATATATTAGACAAGAAATATCTGTTTGTTACGTGGCACAGAAACAAATGACAATAGAATTTACAAGATTAATATGCTTTTATTTCTCATATTCCTGATAAAATCAGTTTACTACTTTTCTCTAAAATACTCCATAAAATTAAATATATAGATTATATGAAAACTAGTGGACAGAATTATATAAAATAGAGCTCTAAAAGATTTATGAAATTAATTTAGGGCACCTACAGTTACAACAAGAACATTTTTTCTAGTCCGTGCACAGGCTGTAGTCATCCTCCAACAGAGAGACAGTGAGAAAAACATTTTGGAAAAAAAGGACAGCCAAAATAGCTTTTGTTTTTCATTCTTACTTTCAGGAGATGGATAACACCATTCTCCTTAGCAATAATAGCATCTTCTGAGATAATCACCTAGGTTTGATTCTTAGCTTTCTACAAGGAGAATGCACATTGAACTGTTTTTCTCAAACCAAAGGCTTTTGCAAGAAAATGTCACCAAGAATTGAACCAGAAGAACAGATTAAACACCCCAACACTGAACAAAGTAGCATCCAGCTGTGCAAGATTAGCAAGACACTCATAGAGAACAAGAAGTCCTGAGAACTTTCTAGCAAATCTTCCTTTACTAGAAGTTTACTCTACTCAGAGGCATGGGTAAGTGGCAGAACAAAGGTAACATGAAATCATGAGGTAAAATAAAAAAGGTCTTTTTCTAAAGCATCGTTTTTCAACTCAGTCATAGTAGAATAACAAAAAGGCATATGAAATAAAGTGTTTTTTGTCATCTATTGTGGCTCAGCCCTGAGACCATATGCCTAGTCAGTCAGTATAACCTATTTTCTGTAATAGTTGTGAACTAGAGTTTCTTTCAAAAAGACCTGAGCAATTAATCCTTTTATTAACTTATGCTTTTATGCTGAGGATAATGGTCAACATTTTCATGTTCTCTCAAAACAGAAATTGTAAAATAAAGCTGCCAAAAAAAGGGTGTTTTGATAATAAAATTGCTACAGGAAAGAGCATGCTGGACACAGAATATATACCATCTTTGAAAATTTTCTAAGTATGCGACTGAGCTTTTCCTCTCCCCAGAACAACCCAGGCTGAACCTTAATTTCCCCATGATACAAATTTCCAAAAGTCAATGGGAAAATAATTTAGAAAAATCATATACATAGGTTCTACAACATGATTGAGAGTGCCAAGGTAACTCATATACTAGAGCAAAGGAAAAAATGCTCAAATGCTTTGGTTCAAGCATATAATGAAAACCAAGACGGAAAAATCCCAAAACTAACAAACATACCAAAACCACTTTCCATAATACTGAATATATGTGAACACTCTCGCTTACAATATGATATTATGTTTTCCTTTCTCCTGTTTTTGGAGACTAGCACTACAGCAGTCCTGGACTTCTCTGTTATACGAAAGACTGACTACAGAAGAAATAAATTCCTGTTTTGACATTCTACTTCTCTGTTATAACTTACAAAATGAGCTTTGCTAGGTAACAATCAGTAGCAAAAAAAAAATAGTCCCCCAACTAAAATTAAAATTCAAGACAATCAAGCCAAAGACCTAGTAATGAAATGGCATCAAAA